TTTTGGTCAAATGTTAGCTCAAGGTTTTCATGAAAAGAATCTAGATTTTTAATTGACATCATAGGATTTTCTTTCATCTATTATAATTGACTGGACCATTAACATTCATTTCTTAAAACACAAAGTTTGTACCATCAGTAATCAAATGTGAGAGCATTTATATGATTATTCAGCTGAAGAAGATCTTTGACATTCTGCATAGAAATTCACTTATTAACCTTTTTTGGGGGATTAGCAAAACAAAAGCAACAAAACCTCCAATCTGTTGGTATCCAAGCCAGTGTAATTCTGATTCTTAACCCTCTGGAACACATATTTTATTTATTCAGTATTTTTTTTAAGAGCAACCATTCTTTTTTTTTTTTTTTTTTAAAGATTTATTTATTCATGCATTCAAGAACCGGGGTACAGGCCAGATGTGTTGGAGGGTGAGAGGATTCACCAGAGACAGAGCGGAAACAGAACAGGCAGATTGACCGAAATACACTGCTGAGGGGAGCAGTGGGCAAGATAGGAGAGGTCTGCCATGCTATGTGGGACTCTCTCTCGCCTGCCGGGAAATGAACCGGCTCTGCAAAGGCTGCAGACAGCTTCGCAGCACTGTGCTCAACTGCCTGCACCACAAGGGGAGGCCCTATTCAGTATTTCTTTATCTGTTTTAATAAAGATTGTCTTGCTATCAGAGGAAATATAACCCCCCAGTCAAAAGATAGAGTTAAAGGGCCTCCCCGGTGGTACAGCAGGTTGAGCACAGCACTGTGAAGCTGTCCGCAGCCTTTGCAGCATGGTTCGATTCCCGGCCGGCTGGGGAGATACTCACATGGTGCGGCAGACCTCTCCCGTCTTGCCCGCTGTTCCCCTCAGCAGTGTTTTTGGTCCGTCTGCTGTTCTATTTCCTACTCTGTCTCTGGTGAATTCTCTCACCCTCCCATGTCTCTGACCTGTACCCCAGTTCTTGTATAAATAAATCCTTTTGTTAAAGATTTATTTATTTATGCATACAAAAGCTGGGGTACAGGCCAGAGGTGTGGGGGTTAGAAGATTCACCAGAGACGGAGTGGGGGAACAGAACAGGCAGACGGACTGAAGTACACTGCTGAGGGGAGCAGCGGGTGAGTCAGGAGAGGTCTGCTGCACCATGTGGGTTGCTCTCTGGCTGGCCAGGGATTGAATTCGTGCTGCAGAGGCTGCAGACAGCTTCATAGGTTGCATCTTAACACCTTGCGCTACCAGGGAGGCCCTAAATAAATCTTTAGATAAAAAAAAAGATATGAGTGAAATCAGGAAGTGTGATGAATCTAGCTTTGTCAGTCTTACCTTTCTTCCTGGTTGATTCATGTGGACACATGGAAATCATTTCAGGTCACCCTGGAGTTAAGAACCTACACAACTACAATAAAACCAAACTTTAACTGCAGCCTATATGGTCACTAGTAGGCATGTCTAAGAATCAGTTTGTGGGGAGAGAAAGATGAGTGGTAAAGCAAAGTTAAAAAGAAGGTAAGAAGGCCTCCCTGGTGGTGCATGGGTTTGAGCGCTATGCTGCGAAGCTGTTTGCAGACTCTACCATGCGGGTTCGATTCCCAGCCGACCAGGGAGATAGTGACATAGCAACGCAGACCTCTCCTATCTTGCCTGCTGCTCCCCTCAGCAGTGTATTTCAGTCAATCTGCCTGTTCACTCCCCGCTCTGTCTCTTGTGAATCCTCTCACTCTCCCGTGCCTCTGGCCTGTACCACCAGCTCTTGTATAAATGAATAAATCTTTTTTTAAAAAAAAAAAAAAGGTAAGAAATGAAAGCAGAGAGAAGAAAAAAACAGCAGCAGGCTAAGACCTGCACACAGAGCAAACAGGCACCTGCACACAGGTATTCTCTCATGGCCATCCACCCACTCCCAGGTAAATATGAAACCCCAGGTTGTTCTGATCCAATCCAGTTTCCTGGGAACCCAGAGATTTTCATATTTTTAAATATTGAAGTTGATTCCTTTGTCAAGATATAAAAACAAGATGCCCAAGATATAAAAACAAAGACTGTAGTATTTTTCCAATACAAATTTGCCTTGTAAGATACATTACACCATTTCTTTAGTATAAAATTAATTGGTGAAAACAAGGCTACTTTAAATAAACACGAAAATTTGAAATTCAAAGATATAGATGAGACTTCTTTTCATCAACCACCACATCCAATTTCCTTATTTTCATTGTGCATTTTCTGAAGAGCCTTGTTTCACATTGGAGGCAAGTAGTGTCTGATTTTTTAAAACTTCTTGAGCTATACAAATAGAATTTTAAATAGTTTTAATATCTCAAAGTGGAGAAATTGGTAAATTTGAGCCTGAAGACTGATCATCAGAATATATTGCAAACATAGATGTCATCAGTATTAAGTCAAGTGAGACAGAGCACTCTCATATTTTACACACTCACAGTGGCTGTCTGCACTCTAAGATGGGAATGCTACGTGTGTACCTGTTGCCATATACAACAATGTGATTCAGTGCCCAGAACAGGCCCTGCATGGTTTACCTGAGCTGTCTCTGGCATTGAACTTAAATATCCATATTCCAGTTATGGTAGTTTTTTGGCTTGTAAGTGTATACCTAAAATTTAAAGAACACAGAACTATGTTTTCACAAATGAATGCTGCCTCTGCCTTTTCCTACATGTGTAGGATAGCAGGAGACATTGAACCCTGAGGTCAGCACCTAAAAACTTAACTTGGCAACATAAGTGAACATGTTGTAGGGACAGTCTATTCTTCTGTTATGGTCAGATTTTGCATTTAGTTACTTTAAATATGTCTGAATCAAATATTTGGGGTGATAAGCATTTCTTTAGAATTCTAGTGTCAAAATCTCCTGGACGAAGGTCCCAATTTCACCTGGCCTGGCATCCCTCATCAAATTGCCTGGGTGCTAAGGAATTATTCCGGGGCTAGGAATTGAACTTGCATTTCCTGAAATTGATGGTGATTTTCATTTTTGTGAGGTCCTCTGTCTGACGGTTTCTTGTAACAAATTTATGTGTTTCACTAGAATACTCCCAACTTGTTCTCAGAATAAAGTCCTAATGCCTTGGTTTGGTTCTTTCCTAAACTATTGATCCAAACAGTGTACCCAATGTTTAAAATTTAAAATATCTCTCCTTAATAACTCTTCTTATCAAAATCTTTATGATAAAGATCTCAGAAGTCATAATTTTTGATGTGTGTATGTATGTGTGTATATGTATGTATACACACCATATATATCTCAAACAATATATACAAAATACATACAATATGTACACAGTGTATACCATATAATGAGCACACAACAATATATAAATCACATAAGAGGGTATTTAATGACATGGACAGATTTTTTTCCCTTTATGTCAAGTGGAAAGGCAAATTGGAAAATATTGTGATTCTGGGATTTTTTTTCCTTCAAGAGAAAAATATATAGAACATAGAAAAAATTCCTGAAATGTTCATACTCAAAAATGTACTGTTTGAAGGAACTGAGATTTTTGCTTACTGGCATTTATGCATGTATAGTGTACCTGCTTAACTTTTGTAATAAGACATGAGTTAATAAAGCTTATCTTTAAATTGTAGGATACTTTATCTCATCCTTTAAAAAAAACTGGAATATCTGAACCTAAAACTTATCCAAGTTGTTTTTACAATTACCACTAATATCTGGGTATTTTATTTTATTTATTTATTATTTTTTAAAGATCTATTTATGTTTATACAAGAACTGGGGTATAGGTCAGAGGTGTGGGAGGGTGAGAGGATTCACCAGAGACAGAGTGGGGAACAGAACAGGCAGACAGACCGAAATACACTGCTGAGGGGAGCAGCGGGAGAGACAGGAGAGGTCTGCCACGCCATGTGGGTCGCTCCCTGGCCAACTGGGAATCGAACCCATGCTGCAGAGGCTGCGGACAGCTTCACAGTGCTGCGCTCAACCCACTGTGCCACCAGGGAGGCCCTATCTAGGTATTTTAAAGAGTATTTAACCAATGTGAGTGGCACTGAGATTGAAGGTAAACCTAATGATCAACTCAGCATGTTTTTGATGTCAACTTCTGTCAGACCTCTGAACTTTGTTTTGGAGATCATCAGACTACCCATCTAGTCATATTTACAGCGATATTTCTTTCTTTTTTTTTAAAGAATTATTTATTTGTTTATTTATTTATTTATTTAGTAGAAGAACTGGGGTGTAGGCCAGGAGGGATGAGAGGAATTACCAGAGACAGAGTAGGCGCAGAACAGGCAGATTTACTGAAATAAACTGCTAAGGAGAGCAGAGAGGTCTGCAGCACCATATGTGGGTTAGCATCCTGGCCTAGGATGGAACTCAGGCTGTGGTGATAGTGCTGAGACTTAACCCCACACCACCAGGGAGGCCCCTACAGGGATAGTTCTTTCCACCTAAGATACTCACTGCTGAAAGAAAAGTTGAGATTTAGCACTTTCCAGGCCTAAGTGACATTGTTCTTTTACATTCTTTTCAGAAGAAAAAGATGTGCAATTCTGCCATGTCACGGGTGTGAATAGCACATTCACTAAGAAACTTAGTTTTTCTAGCAAAGATATTATGTAAAGGGAGTACCTCTCTGTCTGCTCCATTGCTCTGGAGTCCTGCTAGCTTGCACTGTGGTTGGTTTCTACATCCATATCCAAAGAGGATCTATTTGTTAGTCATAGATAATTTTTTTAAAAAGGTGAATTAGGCAATTTTCCTTGAAACTTCTAATTTAGCGTGAAGTAGAATTAAATAGTAGAAATGAATAAATGTATTTGGAGATAGAAAAGTAAGAAGAGGAATTGTTTGGTTACACAGCAGACTGTAAGAGGGCTGAGGAATGGATTGAAGAAAATTATCAAGCATGCATGTTGTTTTTAAGTGATACTTGAGACTGGGATGTGAAACAGCTGTGTTGTTGGGTGTTTTTTTTTCCTCGTGCCAACTTTCCTTATTTGATTGATTTTCTCTCTGACAGCCCACTGTGCTGATAAATGTGTCCATGGTCGCTGCATTGCTCCAAACACCTGTCAGTGTGAGCCTGGCTGGGGTGGGACCAACTGCTCCAGTGGTAAGTTTCCACCTGCTGTTGTCTGTCTCTGGATGTGTTTGCTCTATGGGCCTCCTTGTCTGCAGTTTTCCCTGAGCCATGGGTTTCCTTCTTCATTTCTATGCAGAACACGATGAGGATTCCAAATCCAACACATGAATAAAATTTCTTTTAAAACTATTGACACACTATGCAGTCCTGTTGTTAATTGTGTGTAAAGAAAGGTACTTACTAGGAAGGAAGATTTCAAGAATTTGATGCTGATTCTTCTGTGCCTATTGATGTCTTTTCCAAAGTAGTCTCCAGAATTTAAATTTCTTTCTTCAGAAAGGCAGTTGTGTTCGTAACATAGCTATTGTATTGTAACTTCTGTTTTATTTATCAATTTATCTAAGATACTTTTCTGCCCATTAAAATTTACCACCTGTTAGTATCAACTCAGAAGTAAAATAGATATTTTGGATGTTTAACATTTTTATTTATCACTGAATTCTGAAATGTAAATAATGAGTACTTGTTCAAATAGCTTTAGGCAGACATATTGGTAATAAATGAAAATCACAAACATTTTGGTATTAAATAAAATAATAATATGTAATTTGTGTCTATTATGTTAGAATCGTAATTCTAAAATGATAACATCTTGGACTACAAGCATGTTGTACTTTAAATACCTTATCCATTCTAAGGAGGATTAAATGATGGAATGTCATGTAATACAGTTGCTTTTTGAAATTTCACAGTTAAAACTTCAGTTTTCTGGCTAAGATGTTGTTGGGCATGCAATTGTGTGCACTTCCTGTTCCTTTATACTTCTTTTTGCTTTGAAAAATGTTAAAGGGAACTGGAGTGCAACTAAATTATAATGCATAAAGGATTATATTTAGAGAAAGCAAATAATAGTTTAAAAAAAATAGCAGGCTGCTATGACAGCACAAATTAGTCCTCACTGCTACCAAATAGTTTTTTGAAACTGGTCTGAAAGCACTTTAAGTTGTCCAGAAAACATGATTTTAAGAATTTCCACTTGCTCACATTTTAAATTGGGCAGATTACTCTTTATCTTCTTAGAACTTCTTGTTTCAGACTTGTGATCTCTTGGCTCTCCCTGAAACAGCATCTCCAGGGGGAGTCTTGTGCTGTCTGTGGACAGAACATTCTGTGTGAAAGAGCCTTTTTATTGTATCTTAAACAGCAAGTGTGTGTGTGTATGTGTGTGTGTGTGTGTGTGTGTATGTGTGTCTTTCTGCCTCTGACAGGCTTCTAATTCCAATGGATGGCTGTCTTGCAGGGTTTTGTTTTGTTTCTGTTGGAGTTCAGGAGGAGAGTGGGCATTTTTGTTCACATGCCGTTGAGGCAGAATGTTTGGGATGTGGGATTTGGCTCATGTCCATTTTTCTGGCCTACTGACCTCAAATACGATGTTGCTTTCATTAACTTTTCCGGCTCAAAAATCAATTGTGCCTACACATTTTGAAGAAAAATAACATTATTATATAAACTAGTGGAATAGAAAAGAGTGAATGTATTCTTCATTTAAAAAATGAGATTTGTTGCTAATCCCAGGCAAGAATACTATGAAATAACTTCAAGTTGTATTCACACATTTTCTCATAAGAGCTGCAGTCTACCTTAAGCTAAGAGAGCAGACTGAAGGGTGTTTGTGTAAAGAAAACAGATTCCTACAGGGGCTTCAGATTCAAGTTCTCTATCTCTAGAACTGATTTAGACCTAGAAAATAAACTGTTGCTTTATTTTGGAGTTTTCTGATTTTTTTTTTCATGTCTAGAATTTTTTGTTTTATTTTTAAAGATAATTCTGCAAATTACTCTGTAATTTGCTTTTAAAAAAAAAATCTAATAAGTTCTGATTTTTGAATGAAGCTTCTAGAATTCTGAGAACCCATGTTCTTTCAGTCCTGGGAGATAGATATTGAGATATTTTTGGTTTGATCTCTACAATTCATGTTTTATAATGAACAAAAGCATAAATAAATGTGGACAAATATCTAAAATTTTTCAAGATATCTGAGAAAAACATTTGACACTTTTTTTAAGTACTTAAGAAAATGTGATTCTGAGCTGGAGCACTAGTTTTTATCTGTAGACGTTTCCCTTTTACCCATTAGGTGACATATAATTTAATTACTCTTGGGCAGATAACTCTTGAAACAAAATGCATGCTCTGATAATCTACTCAGTGGCAGAGTAACAATGGTCTGATTTCCAAGTGTTTTATTTCTGTGTCCCCTCCTCTCTGGTTATTGTTATACATAGGCTTGGAAATGTAAGTTTGGTGGTTAGATTAGTTTCTTTTATTAATCAGGGCCCCAATAGGAGACATAAACCACACTAATTTTTTTTGAGTAAACCTTTATCTTTTTGGAACAAATTTAGATTTACAGAAAAATTGCTAAGAGAGCCAACAGTTATCAGGTGCCACCATCTTGTCTTCCCCCTTGTAACATGTTCAATTACTTTCAGTTTCTGAAAACTGAGACACTAATACTAGTACATTAACATTAAACAAACACTGCAATTTATTTGGTTTTTGTACATTTTTTTCCCATTAATCTCTTCTTTCTGTTCCAAGGTCTAATCCAGGGCAACACAACACAGTGCATTTCATTGTCAAGCCTCCCCAGGCTCCTCTGGTCTGTGTTTCCAGTCTTTCTTTGTCTTTCACAACTTTAACAGTCTGGAGGAGTGCTGGACAATCTCCTGTAGACTGCCCCCAGTCTGTAGTTGTCTGGTGCTTTTCTCATGATTAGAGTAGAGTTGTGGGTTTTCAAAAGAGTACCATTGAATTGAAGTACCCTTCTCAGCACATCATATCAGAGACATCCTGATAGTTACATGACATCAGTGATAATGTCATCATTTGGTTAACCTTTATCAGTTGATGATGTGTAGTGCCTGCCAGGTTCCTCCACATTAAGTTACTATTTTTTTCTTTCCCTGCTCTACCGTTTGGAAGCAAGTCTTTAAGTCTACCCTTCCCTTAAGAGTAAAGGCTAGGAATTAAGCTCCATGTATTTGTGGGAGAAGTATGTATATATGTTACTGAAACTTTTCTGTAAGGAAGATGTATTTCTTCTCCCCTATATTTTCAATCATTCGTTTATAATTTTATGTACTCCTGTATATTTATGTGACATTTTGGGTTATAAGCCAATAACATTATTTTGTTCAAATTGTTTCACCTTTGGTGATTGGGGGTTTTAAGGAGTTCCTGTCTCTTTTTGACATGCCCTCATGCTTCTGGTTTTTTGTTTTTGTTTTTTTTCTTTGTTCACTTGCTTACTTTCTATAGTCTAAACTCATTTTGTGTTTTTTTCCTGCTTCAGTCCTGGAATGACCCCCTGGAGACCAGCATTTAGAAACCTAGATCTGCAAGAAAGATATGCACATTGCTACTTGGACACACAGTAATTTGAACAAGGAAAATTTACTGAAAAGAATTATTAACTAACAGTCAGTAATGAGGAATTGGTTAGCAATAAGTAGATAGCACTGAACAGCATATAGCACTAGCATATACAAGAGGCAGCCATCCCTTTGGGCTGCACTAGAATGCTAAAGAGGCAGCCCATTGGCGGTTTGATCCAGATCCTTTTGAGAGGGCTTAGTCACAGCTCACTGAGTGGCAGAGAGGCTGCTGTAGTACTATGCTAGCAGAATTTGCTAGAAATCTGCATTTTGGAACTTCCTAGAAATCTGCCTTAATAGGATGCTTGGGAAAACTGTTCATGGAGAAGTGTCTCAGAGAAACACATTGCTACAAAAAGCCCCAGATGGGTGCTAGGGGAAGTTCTGACTGATGGAGGCTGCTAGCCACAGTGCAGTGCAGAAGCTGGGTGCTAGAGGAGCTGTACATTCTATAGGAACCTGGAGAAGCCACTCCCACTGTACCTATGTGTCGACTTGGCAAGAGCTAGTACAAGACAGGCCAGTACACTGGAGAGTCAGTTGAGCTAGCCCAGCAGAACCAGGTTGGAAAACTCTGTCCTCTTGCACTATTTCTCCAGTGTCCATTGTAGTAAATGCTTAACATTTTACCACCTTGCAAAAGAAAAATATCTAAGGGACCCACATTCATTTTTGTAGACAATGAAGGAGATAAATTCAGTGCTGAAAGGCAATAACGTGATCACTGTTGCAGGCACTCATTTTGTTCCTGTTGGTAACTTTCTACATAAATTTGAAATCTTGTTTATCAGCAAAACAGCTTTATATTTCTGCCTGATAAGATCCAGCCATTTATCTGGCAAATAAAAACGTTTTCACTCTGTTCCTGAAATGAAGAAATGCAAGTCCTAACAGTCATTGTATCCACTGCTGGTTATATTAGCTTTTCCTCAAATTTAAATTTAATCACAGTTCCGCTGACTAGTCTGTTAGTTAGACACTAAAGTTAACTTCCAACAACTTGTATATGAAAGAAAATAAAAATGGAAAAGAGAAGGGAGAAAAATAGCATCCATAAATTAATATGTGTGTGTGTGTGTGTGTGTGTGTAACAAGTGAATAGAAAATATTGAAAACTGCTATAGATCTCTTTTCCATAAGTAGTCATAAGGCTGTAATTGTACATATGGCTTCCTTCTTCCCCTTCCCCAGTTTTTATTTCTCCCCCTCCTCAGCCCAAACCCCATCTGTTTGTGGTTCCTAACCTAGTGGATTTATTTAAATTTTAATTCCTGAAGGATCTCATTTCTCAGTTCCTGTCTTTTTTTGCTGGTTGGCAGTTTGTATTAAGCTTTACCACTGCACATGAAAGTACTAAGTGGTGCCCCTAGAATCTCTGCTTTCCTTTTTCCTACTATGTAGCAGCAACCCAGTTTCCTCTTGACAATCAGGATCAGTCTCTCTGGAACCTTTGCTTATGTTAGGAGCCTAAAATAACCAGATAACAATAATTTATTTTTTTTAAAGATTTATTTATTTATGCATACAGGAACTGGGGGTACAGGTCAGAGGTGTATAGGGGATGCAAGAGGACTCACCAGAGACAGAGTGGGG